TTAATAAGCAAACTTTATCTTGACCATGATGACAACATGTAAACATCTTGATCATGATTATAAAGTAAAACATCAACTTGGTCATGATTATAAAGGAACCAAATTGAATAAAACTGAATGAGAGATGGATTAAAGATATTTCAAACCATTTTCATCTGTCAATCTTAACATCGATACTGTATCTTTCAACAATTCCTCAAAATCTATACTGTAGATTCCTCTTAATGTCATGTATTGTTTTTCACACAAAAATGTGATATTAAGTGAAGAGTGATATTAAAAGGAATCCAATGTATACAGTATAACTGTTGCGTCTGATAATTACTGATGTTTAAAATCTCCAAAGATGAAATCTATTTCTATACCTGTTTTATCCTGCGGTATTACATAACGGTCATCTTTTAATCATCCCTTAACGAGCACGTAGCTTACCAGGCATGGTTTGTTTACATGAATCGTCACCCATCTGTACAGGCTATAAATAGCCCCCTCCTCCAGACAGGATAGAACAAACTGATGTGTATTCCATAAGGACGTGACAGGCGACACACGTGACAGACAGATAGGTAACGGCAGACAGGTAATCCTCGTTAGCACAGGTAGATGGTAACGCTGTCACACAGAAAAACAAGCAGACGACAGACAGACAATATGACAGGAAGTGGTACATCTCGGTCCGTCGTAGAGCTGAGGAAATGGTTGCTGCGTTACGTTCAGTCAGTAATCAATACCACACACTATTATTAGGTAGGGCACATAATGCTGAGAACTGGATAAACAGATCCCAACTTCTCGGCAGAACTTGTCCCCAAAGTGCGCCCAAACTAGGCTTTCTATCTGATCATATGGCATGCCAACTGAATATTCTTCATCGAGGATGAACACTTAAAATATTCAGACCCCTCCTGGGGTCTACATTAATATGACCTTATATTTGCCAGAGATCTAACCTATATCTCTAACAGAGGAGGCTAAAAACATCTATTTTATCACCGATAACAGAAGTGTGTCTACTAGCTACCTCAGGCTTTGAAATCTGTCTAGGTTTAAAAAAGAATTGCATCTACAAATTTTACATCATTTTTATTAAGATGTTAATACCAGTGTCATTCTAAATTACATTCTTTCTCATTTAAAATGTCAATACGGCCCTGCATGACATTAAACAGACATTTTGAGTTTCCTTTATTTATTTACACTTTTAAAAGTCATTGAATGATGTATTCATACTTATCTTCAAGCAAGCGCACTACACGTATTTGAAAATAAAACAGAATTCAACAAATTCCAAAAGTTTGACTTTATTTATTCTCCCATTTCCATCAACCCCCACCCCACCCCCACC